TAAATAAGTAAAGTATTTTCCAAAAGCACAAAAATATTGAAACTAAATGCCGTAAAAAAGAAGAAAAAATGTTGAATATTTTAAGAAATTCGGATTTTTGAATTTTTGATAATTTTCGATAATTTTAGATTTTTTACCAAAGAGTCGAGACTATTTAATAAGTAAAGTATTTTCCAAAAGCACAAAAATATTGAAACTAAATGCCGTAAAAAAGAAGAAAAAATGTTGAATTTTAAGAAATTCGGATTTTTGAATTTTTGATAATTTTCGATAATTTTAGATTTTTTACCAAAGAGTCGAGACTATTTAATAAGTAAAGTATTTTCTAAAAGCACAAAAATAATAAAGCTAAATACTATCAAAGAGAAGAAAAACTGTTTAATAACAGGGGGGCGGGGCCCCCCTAGTTATTTATAAAAATGAAACTTTGGACAAACTTGCAGGAGATGGAGTAATATTGACTTAAAAATAAACCGAAATTATTTAAAACTAACGCTTTTTAAATGAATTTAAATGATTACGCCTTGCTCTCGTTTCTTCCGTGTAAATTTTCTGTTTTTTTCACCCAACTAGATTAATGCTTTTCACTGTATTAAACTTATAATTCCCGCCATTTTGACTTCCTTGATACCTCGGGGTAAATTGAACCACGAGAGAGGCTATTCTTCGCCTTTGCTATAAAGTACAATTATCCTGTCGGATTTACGATTCTAAACCATATCCAGCAGTCAAGTATATATGGGCATTGTTGTTATTTCCCATGATTTCGTTGGGTTTCCGAACCGAGAACAACGGCAACGCGACGTTATAGCTGTATTGGTCAGGAAAAACGAACGAGGAAATTATGCAATAAACAATCTGGTTTTTGGCATTGACATAATCGAGTGCACATTAAGAGGGATGTGCATTGTATAATGTATACGTGGAGATATATATATTTTATTATATGCCTTGTATATTATAAAAATAAAAGAACAAACACACTGCGAAAAGAAATGAATGCTCCGTAAAGTCAGTCGCAAGTGTGGTATAATAAAATATAAAAGTAAGAGACGTGGGTGCGTTTGCAACATACGTGGGTGCGATAGTATAATCGAGTGGATTCGTTGCATATAGTGTTTATAATCTACATGTACCTGTTTCTTCTTCCTCGCTGAGAAACTTCTTTAGAATCGTATACAATAGTATCATACTATTTTCTTACTACCCTCTTTCTAGAGTCTCTTTTTATTTCAAGAGTTTTTATTTTAGACTCGATTTTAGATGAGAAAAAAAGTCAGAACAATACCCCCAAGTCGATATTATTGTTATGACGCACTTTATGGTTGATTTGACACGTTCTTATTTATAATGTGTTGTCTCATTGTAAATAATAAATTTCCAGATGGTTTATGGTTTTGCTTTTTATTCGATTCGAATGTTTGTTACTGGACTTCTTCATTCTTCTTCATCAGGTGTATGTTTGATATAGTGCCTTTTGAATTTTACTAGGTGTCGTCCGTATACTACGTGAACAAATATTTTCTGGTAAAAAAAAATAATATTTTTTGGTAAAGGAAATAATATTTTTTGGTAAAAAAAATAATATTTTTGATAGAATATGAAAACTTACAGTTAAAAAGAAAGTTTTTTTTATTTTAAAATAGTTAATTACTAGATATTTTCTAATAAATTTAAAAAATGTAAAATCTTGACAGTGAAGAAGCGCTGCGCAAGCGCCGAAGATAGAACGATAAGTGGGGGCAATAGGAGGGAGAGAGAAAGACGAGAACATCTTTCTCACTCCCATTGCCCCCACTCCTGCGCCTGCGCTCCACTTCTTGGTTAAGCATCTTACACACCATTAAATATTTGATATCAACGTACATTTGTACATTTAAACAAAATTGATACAAATTTTTATTTAATAAAAATATAAAATAAAATATTTTGAAATGAAAAATTTTTAATTTCAAGAGAATTTAATTTATATTTAATAATTTTTAATTTAAAATTTAAATTTATTAAGTATATAAATGAATTTATCACTTGGTAAAAATTATATAATTAAATTAAAAGAAAATTATCAATCCTTCAAGTCAAATAATTTTGACTTGGAAGATTGATAATTTTATTTTAATTTAATTATAAATTTATTAAGATTTTCTTTTGAAAAAGTTGACGATCTTTTTTTTGAGGTTATGAAGCGCAATAAGAGTTGTAATTCGCTTTTAAGGTTAACTGCGTAGAGTTAACATCTTAGAATTGCCCGATCCAGGAATAATGTTGCTTGAAAAAAAAGTAATATTATTCTTTATTGTTAAGTTATGACAGCTACTTTATGCATAATTCATAAAAGTTATTTAAGTGCCATCTAAAGTGATCATTTAAAATATCGTAAATTTGCACATAACCTATTTTTCAGATTGAGAGTAAAATTGTTTTTTTTTATTACTATTAAATATTCAATACTTTATATAATGACAAATTTAATAAACGTCAGTCTTTTTGAAAAAAGGTCCATAAAGTCTGTAATTTGATTGAAAAAGGACGAAAAGTTCGTAAATTGTACGATACAATTTGGAGAATTTTAGAGAAATTACAAATGATAGCAGAAATTCAATTATTTTAAAAAAGTAAAAAAATTCTTCGCAGAAATTTAATTATGTTCGAAAATTAAAAAAAATCTCGTCAAAATTTCAATTATCTTTAGAAATAATAAAATTTTTCGCTGAAATTCAATTATTTTCATGAATATTAAAATTTTTACAGGGATTCATAATTATTTTCGTAAATAATAAAATTACTACTGGAATCCAATTAATTAAGAATAGCATTTTAAAATTTTTAATAAAATTTTAATCGATTTCAATAAATTATTTATTTTTGTATTTAAATAATTGAATTCTAGTAAAATTTTCTAATAAAAATTGATTTAAAAATGAATTTCAGTTAAAAACAAATGAATTTGAAAATTCTCAAAAAACTTTTTCCAAAATTTATTAAAAATAATGTATTTATAGAAAAATTGTAGTTAAAAACAATAAAAAAAAATTAATTTTTCATTGGAATTCAATTATTTTCAAATATAATAATAAAATTGTTCGAAAGAAATCAATTATTTTAAATACATAATTTTAATTAAATGTCTTTGAAATAATTAAATTATTCTTTGAGATTTTAATAAAATTCTTGTCAAGAATTCAATTATTTACAAAAATAATTTTTCGAAAGAATTTAATTGAATTAAAGATAAATAACAAAATTGTTCCCAAAAATTCAATTATTTTGAGGCATTTTAATAAAATTCTTTGCAAAATTCAATTAGTATCATAAATAACAATATTCATCACAAGAATTCAATTATTTTTAAAAGTAAGAAATTTTTTCTTGTAAATTCAATTATTTCTTTAATAATAAAATTCTTTTTAGAAATTTAATTATTTTTAATACAATTTTAAAGGAATTCTTCGAAAATTGACATTATTCTGAAAAATTTTATTAAAATTTCTCGAAAGAATTTAATATTAATAAGAAACATTCAGTAAATTATTTATTTTTGTATTTAAATAATTGAATTCTCGTAGAATTTTTTAAATAAAAATTGATATTAAAATGAATTATTTTCAGGAATTTAAATAAAATTCTTTGCAAAATTCAATTATGTTCATAAATAAGAATATTCACGATAAGAATTCAATTATTTTTAAAATTCTTCGCAGAAATTCAATTATTTTCAAGATTTTTAATAAATTTTTTTTTAAAATTCAATTATTTTCATTATTATAACAATATTTATGATAAGAATTCAATTATTTTCAAAATTTTTTTTAAAATTCTTCGCAGATAATTCTATTATTTTCATGAATATTAAAATTTTTACAGGGATTCAATTATTTTCGTAAATAATAAAATTACCACTTTGGAATCCAATTAATTAAGAATAGCATTTTAAAATTTTTGATAAAATTTTAATCGATTTCAATAAATGATTTATTTTTGTATTTAAATAATTGAATTCCAGTAGAATTTTCTAATAAAAATTGATTTAAAAATAAATTTCAGTTAAAAGTGCAAATAAATTTGAAAATTCTCAAAAGTATTTTTAAAATTCTTCGCAGAAATTCAATTATTTTCAAAAATTTTAATAAAATTCTTTGCAATTCAATTATTTTCATTATTAACAATATTCATGATAAGAATTCAATTATTTTCAAAATTTTTTGCAAAAATTCAATTATTTTCAAAAATCTTAATAAAATTTTTCACAGCAATTATTTTATAAATCCTAATGAAATTCTTCTCAAGAATTCAATTATTTTTAATAGAATTTTAAATGAATTCTTCGAAAATTGCCATTATTCTTAAAAGTTTTATTAAAATTTGTCGAAAGAATTTAATATTAAGAAACATTCAGTAAATCATTTATTTTTGTATTTAAATAATTCAATTTTTCTAGAATTTCCTAATAAAAATTTATATTAAAATGAATTTTTGTTCAAATTTTAGATAATAATAATTGAATATTAAAACCATTATAGCATGAATTTTTAAAAATAATTAAATTTTAAAAAGGTTGTTAATTAAAATATTTGAAAATTTGAATTTTTCATACTTTTAGCTAAACAATTGTGTAGAATTAAGTTTTTTGAAAAAGTTTAATTGAATTTTTATTAAATTACTTTTTCGAAAATTAATTGATTTAGAGAAGAGTTAGTTGAAAAATTATTAAAGAATTTATAGTTTTATGAATTAAATGTCGAAAGGCCGAATTAGAACCGAAACATGTTAATCTGGAATTACGTATTTAAAGCCCCCCCCTCTCTTTTTCTACTTTTTTTTTTAATTTTTTTTTTATTAAAATGTCTATGGGATTTTTTGGATGAGATATATTTGTGGTCATCAGAATCCCCTCCCTCCCCTCGCCTCTCTCTCTCTCTCTCTCTCTCTTTCTTTCTTTTTCTCTCTCATTTTAAGGAAGGCGGACACCGGCATATGTGAAAGTAAGTCTTTGGTTGACTGAGAACGCGTGCCCGCGGTTCTGCTTACCTATGGACTGGGTTTACAACGGGGATAACCCCACGTTACAACCGCCGGCGAGAGGCCACGCGAAACAGAGACGACAGAACTTAAACAGACACTTTTCGAGTCGCAGACTCTCCGCACGAATCCCAACGAGAAACGCTTTTTGTAATTCACGGTTTCGAGTTTTTTTTTTTCATCTTCTTTTCCTTCTCTACTTTTTTTTTTATTCTCCTTAATCAGTTTGTTGAGGCCCCCCCTCCCCCTCAGTTCTTTAACGTATAGGACAAGACTGATAAAAAAAAGTAACAAAAAATTTCTTAAAAGTAGCTTTCTGAAAAATTTTTTTTGTTTTAAATTTAAAAAAAAAAAAAAAAAAAATACAATGAAATTGGGAAACAATGAAATTTTTAGAAAATAGAGAACTAGAGGAATACTTTATGTGATATTTTTGAATACCTCGCATTCTCAAAGATATTTTCTACAAAAAATTTATTTTTTGGGATCAAAAAAATAATTTTTTTTTATTTGAAATTTATTTAGAAATTTTTTGTCCCTTTTCGTATCGGTAAAAATCAAGTGTAAAGTTCATAATTGCAATAGAGGATTATTGATCATCGACAGGTGCTACTTGAGGATTTTTTCAGTGTTATTGAGATTTCGCAAAAAAGGAAACAAAAAAAAATTTGTTTTGAAAATATTTAAATAGACGTACTAGAAATTAAAAAAAAAACCAGTGCTCATTGGTCCAGGAGGGAAGTTTTTTTTTAAAAAAAAAGTTGTAAAGTTGTTAAAGTGAAATTCGTGTGTTTCGTGATATAAAGTGATTAAATTATTCGGCGAAAAATTGTGAATTTCTCACAATGAGGAGAGCGGTTCTAACCGCTTGTTTGCTGAGTTTTGCTCTCGCCGGAAGTCCCAGGTTACCTAGGACTTCTGCCGATCAGCGCAGCATCCGAAATGCACATGTCAATAATAATATTACTGGGAATATTTTACCGCCACCTTCTCGTGGATCCCCTCGAAGCAGGTAGAGAACTGTTAATTTTCTTAATTTATATTTATCAGATTTAGGTAATAATAGCGAATTAGTGAGGGTTTGGTTAATTCAGTCAATCGTTTGGTAAATAAAGTAAATTTTTTTTATTAGGCCAATTGTTTGGTCGTTTCAGTCAAATGTTTGGTTACTTTAACCAAATTTTTGTTTTAATTCAGTCAAATATTTGGGTAATTTAATTAAATGTTTGGTTATTTTAACAGATTTTTTTTGGTTGATTTAGGTAAATATTTGGGTAATTTAATCCAAAGTTTTGTTATTTCAATCGAATTCAGTCAAAGGTTTGGTTACATTAATTGAATTTTTATTTTAATTCAGTAAAATATTTGGGCAATTCAATCAAACGTTTTGCCATTTCAATCAATGTTTGGCTATTTAAATCAATCGTTTCATAAATTAAGTCAATCTTTTTGTTAATTACGCCAATCGTTTGGTCGATTCAGTCAAATGTTTGGTTACTTTAATCGAATGTTTCTCTTAATTTAGTCAAATATTTGGGTAAGTCAATCAAACGTTCGGTTACTTTAAACCCTATTTTCGTTTTAATTCAGTAAAATATTTGGGTAATTTAATCAAACGTTTTTTTATTTCAATCCAATTTTTGGTTATTTAAGTCAATCGTTTGGTTAATTAGGCTAATCGTTTGGTAGATTTAGTCAAATGTTTGGTTACTTTGATGGAATGATCTTTTTAATTCCGTCAAATATTTGGGTAATTTAATCAAACGTTTGGTTATTTTAACAGATTTTTTGGTTGATTTAGGTAAATTTTTGGGTAATTCAATCAAACGTTTTGTTATTTCAATCGAATGTTTGGTTGATTTGGTCAATCGTTTGGTTAATTAAGCCAAAAGTTTCGTCAATTTAGTCAAAGGTTTGGTTACTTCAATCGAATATCTCTTTTAATTCAGTTAAATATTTGAGTAATTTAATCAAACCTTTTGTTACTTCAATTAAATGTTCAGTTGATTCAGTCAAATGTTTCATTGATTCGTCAGTCGAATGGTTAATTAATTCAAAGCAGAAATGTTTGGATAATTTTATCAAATGTTTGTTTAATTTAAAAATATAAATATTTGGTTAATTTAGTCAAATTTTGGGTTAATTAAATCGAATGTTTGGTTAAATCAGTCAAATGTTAGAATGATTCGAAAAAGAAATGTTTGGATAATTTAATCACTTAAATATTTAATTATATTTTAATATTTAATAGTATTAAATTATTTTTAAAAAAGTTTAATTACATTTCTGAGTTATCAAATTCAGAAATCTAATTCAAATTAAATCGGATAAATAAAATTAATATTAATATAAAATGAAAATAACTGCGTGGAATTTCCAAAAAATAAATTGGACAGTGATGTCATAACGTCCTTAAAAAAAAAAAAAAAAAGAAAAAAAAACCGAGACGAATGGTGTAATTAGCCAGAATTGTACACTCGACTCTCGGAGTGTTTTATTATTTATTTATAGCCGTCTTTTGAGCGACGTTGGATTCTCTATATAAATTCCCGTTTATTGGTCCAGTTTTTCCACAAACAACGTTTTACTTTTACTCCGCAGAGCAGAGCTACTCCTTTAAAAACTTATAGAAAAATCATTTCCGAACTCATCAGTAGATAAAAATCTCAAGTTTGACCCAAATAAAATAAGATATTCTTCAATATTATCAAAAAAAAAAAAAAACTTTTAAACTATAAAATAAGTCGTTAAATTCTCCCTAATTTATGTATAAAATTAAAAAATTACTAAATTTTCAAAAAGTCATTTTCAAATATAAAAAAAAATATACAACTAAACTTATTATTTATTTCGTTTATAACCAAATATTTAATTTATTTTATATTATATAAAAACTATCGCATGAATATTGCAATACAAACATTTTCTCCATAATCAACAAATTAAGCAAGTTTCACAATTTTCTTGTGCAATCACTACTTTGATTTAATTTTTCAATTGTTCCTTATTATTTCATCCATAATTGATGTAATTATCGAACAAAATACTCTTGATCTTCTCTAGCACATTGACCATAGATTCATCTTGCGACCATAATTCACAAATTTAAAAATTCCATTATGAAATACAACATTATTATTCTCATAATTTAAAAACAAAAATTGTTACATAAAATATAACAAACTAAATTTTTAATTTCTATCAATTTTTCCAAGGATATTAAATTAAGACAAAAAACGTATCAAAACGTTGCTACCCAACTATTCTCATATACATTCTTTTGTCTGAATTTTATATCCTTAGAAAAAAAAGTTAAATTTAGGAAAAATTAATTTTCATTAAAAAAAAGTTTATAATATGAATAAGTATATATATATATACGAAAAGAGAAAGATTGCAATGATTTTCTTGATTTTTTGAGAGGGGGTGAGGTGGGAGGTGTTCAAGATAAACATTATAAATTAGGACACTTTTGATCCGCCGACGAATTCGGCTTAATTACCAATCAATCTTCGTAACATGACCAATCATCAATACTCCAGATAAGGACATTGAAGTAAAAAATTAATCTCTGATCGATAGTTCCCGTTTTAAATTACTGATCGAAAAGGGTATTCAAATTAATTGGGAATAATTTTCTTTTTTTATAATTATCCACAACCACCGAGGATAAATTTTCGAAAAAGAAAAAAACAAACTATTTGGTTAATTTATATATACTGCTGTGAATTATAAACGAAAACATATTTTCGCTTATTTAGCAGTGATTCAATTCGAGACTTCGGATTTGATAATTAATTTAAAAAAAGTAGCTTTAAAACTAAAAAAAAGTAGATTTTATTAGAATTTTTTAAAATAATTGAATTTTCAAGAAGAAATTGATTACTTTTAAAAATAATTGAATTCTTGTGATGAATATTGTTATTTATAAAAATAATTGAATTTTGGCAAGAATTTTATTAAAATGCCTCAAAATAATTGAATTTTCGGGAAAATATTGCTATATATCTTGAATAATTGAATTCTTTCGATAAGAATTATTTATGTAAATAATTGAATTCTTAGGAAGAATTTTATTAAAATCTAAAAGAATAATTGAATTATTTCAAAAAAATTTAATTGAAATTATATTTAAAATAATTTATTTCTTTCGAACAATAATTTTATTAAAATACTTGAAAATAATTGAAAATAATTGAATTCCTGTGAAAAATTATAATATTTTTGTAAATAATTGAATTCCTCCAAAGAATTTAAAAAAACATTTTTTTTAAATAATTGATTTTTTCGAGGAATTGAAATTAAATTTTTAAGAATAATTACATTTTGGAGCAATTCTTGTAAAATTTTATTAAAAATAATTGAAATCCTGCGAGAAATTCTGTTATTTATGAAAATAATTGAATTTTGCAAAGAATTTTATTAAAATGCTTCAAAATAATTGAATTTTCGGGAAAATATTGTCATTTATCTTGAATAATTGAATTCTTTCGAAGAATTGTTTATGTAAATAATTGAATTCTTGGGAAGAATTTTAATCATGAAAAGAATTGAATTCTAACGACAATTTTTACAAAAATGTTTTTAAATAATTGAATTCTGTTTGGAAATTTTAGGAAAATAGTAGATATTGAAAACCATTGAATTGCGAAAAGTTTTTAAAAAATATTAAATTTTACAAAGAATTCTATTAAAATTTTTGAGAATAATTGAATGTCTGTGTAGCATTTTATTAAATTTTTTTGAAAATAATTGAATTCGTAAAAAACATTTTATTATTTAAGAAAATAATTAAATTCTTGCGAACGATTTTATTAGAACTTCAGTTCTTATTAGAACTGAATTTCTATGAAAAATTTTATTATTAGTGAAAGTAATTGAATTATTGTGAAGAATTTTATGAAAATTTTGTTAAATAATTGATTTTTTCGAAATTTTTTAAAAAATGCTATTCTAAATTAATTGAATTGTGGAAAATGAAATTAAAATTTAATTTTAAATTAAATTTAAAAAATTTAAATTAAAAAATTAAATTAAAATTTAAATTAATTGAATTTGTGGAAATTTTATTATTTATGAAAATTTTGAATGAATTTTATCAATTTTTTTAAAAATAATTGAATTCCTTTGCTTTTTATAAAAACACTAGATATTGAAAATAATTGAATTTTGAATATTTTTTGAAAATAATTCCAGAAATTTGCAGAAGTAAATCTTAAAAAATGAAATACGGTAAAATTTTATTTCCGCAAATAGTAAAAATTTAATTTTACATTTGAAAATAGTAAAAGTTGCCTTATTTTCCTCTTTTGATATTTTGATAAATAGAAATTAGTCAAAGAAAATAGAATCATGATCGTTAGATTAGTTCGGACAGTCGGATAAATTGTCTCGACTTTCAAAACAATGCTTATAGATCATTTCTGGATCATTCTTGTTGCAAACTTTATATACCAACAGAGTTCATGGTGAAAGTGAAATTAATCAGAAAGGAACAATTGGCATTAAAACTTTAGGATTATTTTTTTTTCTTTTTTTAAAAACTATTTTAACTGATTATTAATTCTTAAAAAAGAAAACAAAATTATAGAGAATATTTATCAATAAAAACTAAACTTTATCGAACAGTTAACTGCGCAGGTCAAGTAGAGGGGCAAAGCGAACTGTTATTGGTTAACGCCACTCCCCCCCCACTACTTTTAGCACTCTGCGCGCGCAGAATTTCTAAAACCGAAGCGATATTCAGATTAAACTTATTTTCATAAATAATAAATTTCGTCGAAGGAATTCAATTATTTTGAAAAATTTTAAAAACATTTTTTGGAAGAAATCAATTTTTTTTTCATAAATTAAAAAAATCATTGCGAGAATGATATTATATTTTCAATTTCGTCAACAGAATTCAAATCGACGCGGTTGTCGGGTGTTAATTAAAAAAAACCCCGATTTTAATAGTCGATATATTTCACCTCTTGCTTTTGTTAAATTTTTTTTTTTTTTTAAAAAAGATTG